TCTGGGCTCTTCTATAGTTTTGAAGTATTTTGTAATTTTTAAAAAGGAAGAAAGAAAAACAAAAGAATAATAAGATGAGAAATACAAAATGTCAGGTAACAGAAGTCCTGAAAATATAGGTGGAGGAGTGAGGGCTCTGCCCCAGGTAGAAAGAAGCAGGCCTCCCAAGGTTCCTGCACAGGATACGGAGTGACAGCACCAAACACTGTGATTTGATTGATTGATTGATTGATTGATTTAAAAGATTTTATTTATTTATTTGACAGAGAGAGACACAGCGAGAGAGGGAACACAAGCAGGGGGAGTGGGAGAGGGAGAAGCAGGCTCCCTGCCGAGCAGGGAGCCTGATGCGGGACTCGATCCAGGGACTCCAGGATCATGACCTGAGCCGAAGGCAGTCGCTTAACCAACTGAGCCACCCAGGCGCCCAAACACTGTGATTTTAAATTAGCAGTTGCTGCTACTTCTCCCATTATCGTCACCACTGCCTTGACTGCCACCATGAACAATGGCAGCTGTCTTTTATTACACCATTATTTCAGGCCAAGAGATTTATTCACCTCATCTTACTTAATCAGCCTTAAAACTTTATGAGGGTAGGTATTATTGCTCCTGTTTTCCAGGTGAAAAAATAGGCTTAGAGCTGCCAAGTGACTTGTCTGCTGTCTTCCAGCTGGGAATATCTGTCTGACTCCAGCCCCTGTGCTTACTGTGCTTTACTGTCTCCTTAGGCCTTTTTTTCCATATTTGTAAACTGGAGATAATATTTGTACTCTCTACCGGTGGAGTAGCACTTTTCAAATTTTAAGTCATGGCACATTAGGGGTGTGTGAAACTGAATTAAGATGGAATAGAATAGAAAATATCAACATTCATCACCCTTACTATTCCTGAAATTTTTGTTTCTGGTTTGTGTGTGTGTCTTTCTGTTTATGTATATATGTATGCATGCCCTAGTGAAATGTTATGTAGGAAAATGTATTCCCTACCATGGGACATTGTCAGAAAGTTGCAGAGCTACTGCGTTCTTTGAGATATCATGAAGGTCGAATAAACATAAAACGTAGTTGCTGAGCTCCTTAGAAACTCTAAAACACCCTGCAAGTGTAAATTGGGATCATTATTTAACCCTGGAACCTGAAGCACGGCATGGCAGGTCAGTGTCGCTGTGCTGTTCTACCAGCCATGCGGTCTATTGCAGGAAGTGCTAACCTGTCACCACATTGTGTCCAGTGGAGCCAGGACTTAGCTTTGACACTCCTTCCTTGACACAGCACTCCAGACCTCAAGATGGAAGCTATTTGCAAACCCAGCAATAGGCTTATGTTTTGTTGGCAGACATCAGGCCCAGTCTGTGGTTATAAAGCACTGCTTGGCACTTCCAGAGTCATGGCTCTCATTTAGACAAAGGAAAACAGATGTGATCCCTATAACAGCACAGGGGCACTGCATTACAAGCCCCAAAGGGGTTGACTTCTCTCTCCTCCTCTCATAACACTCCCACCATCATCCTCATCTGGAAATGATTTACCTCCTTCTGCCTCTCAGAGGTCATCGGACCAATCCAGAGTCCCCACCCATTTCCCCTTACAGAAAGGTGCAAGAGACCCCTCCGCCAAGGCCATTTTCCTTAGAACATGCTCTTTCCTCATTAATTGTATTTCATGAGGGAACTGCTGGTAACATGGGGTGCCAGTCCCCCAACAACTGCCCTGAAGGCATGCTTTTAAGGAGATACACTGCTTTTCAGCTAATGTAGCAAACTCAGTGGTCACAAAAGGAACTGTGTCTCCCCCCGGTTGAAATCACATGTGTAACTCTGTTTCTGCAACCTGGAAAGGAAGCCTATAGAATTGGCAGTTCTTGCAGAAGGCACCACAGAAAAGTCCATGTCGACCTAGGGATCTGAAAGGCATGTCAGAGACTCCTTCAGTGGAATGTGCAATGCACAAGAAACTTTTGTGTATGGATTTTAAGTCAAGACTCAACATGACATTCTGGACTACGTGAGGAAGAGCTCAAGCAGCTCAATTACCCACCCACAAAGTAAGCTCTTGGTGTTTTACAGACCTCACTAATGAATGAGTCCCGTGGCCTCTGCTGGACTAGCCTTCCCAGTGCTCTGCCAGCCTGCCTCCCACACACCTGTAAATTTGTCAAGCTATAATGGATGGCTGGTGCCAGTAGAGGCTGAGGTCTATGCCTCTTTCCCCAGGATACAGAGAGATCTCAAGCCATTAATAATTCATTCTAGAGTAATGAACATAGCCATATGAACTTGTGAGCAGTAATAATCAAGTGACAGATCAATTTATTACTTCAGTATGCCAAAAGATAATGGTAGTCAGTCTACAAAAGTTAAAACTTTCCCCAAAAAAAGTTTCATAAGCCTTAGATCAATGTGTTTTTTAAGTTCTAAAATAAAACAGATTTTTAAAAAGGAAATGAATTATGTTGGGTAATGGCCTCAAGCCTTTTTATATTCAGAGTTGCTTATCTAGAATTACTGTACCTTTTTTCCCAATGCCTTTGGGCACTGGGGCCTGCAAATTAGAGTAACTGTTATTCATTAATTAAATCTAAGAAATGAAACACAACTCCAGGCTTTGAAAAAGGAGGTTGGAATAGTTGAGATATATTCCCCTCCAAAAAATCATCGATAATAATTGGAGGTTTTATGCGTAAGTAGCTGGATTGGGAACAGTTGTTTTATGCCTACCCAGACACATCCCATTTAACACCTCATGAGTATTCGTTGGACTTCTCCTGGGCCAGGCACTGTGCTCAGTGGGGGTGTTACCACTTAAAATAAGCACAGTCTCTATCCTAAGACAGTGGAGAGACATTACTAACATGTAATAAAGATAATACTTCTGCCTTCATTGAGAGGCAGAGGATTGGGGAAAGACTGGACAGAGACTGCAGAAAGGAAGGGGGCCATTTGAGAAGAATAAGAGAACATTCTAGGCAGTGGAATGACAAAGGCAGATAGGTGTGAAAGTGGGGAGAGGATGGGTAGTAAATTGCTGTAATAATAATCACTATGTTTCCCACACATTACCATATTTAATGTGCACAGCCACCTCATCAAGTAAACTTATTATTCACCTCCCCTCCCCTTCAAAGCTTAGACGTTGAGTCGCTTGTCCAGGGACCTAGAGCTGGGAGGTGGCAGAGGAGGGCTTAGAGGTGAGTTGGGAAAGGAGTCTGGGCTTTACATTAAAGACAATGGAGCCCATCAAGGGTTTATAATCATTATCAGAACAGTCAAACAATAGCAGCATTGCTAAATACTTTACACACACCGTGTCATTGTATAAGGGCACGGAATTCACTTCCTGCACACAGGAGCCCATGATGAAAGGAGTGATGTTACAAGCAGCTTGTAAATGGGCATAGTTGCTGATTGACTGAGTTACAGAACCAAAGTCTTTCCCCTTGCTGGGTAAGAACCTGACCCTCTGCATTGAATGTGAGACAGAAATGTGATACAGCTCTGGGTAGATGGGAAGCTATGTAAGTAAAATCAAGACCTTCCACTAGAACTCAAAAAATGTTTGCAAAATACTTTTATGTGGACCAGAAACAGGACAGTATATCAGTGGCAACTCTCCTTGCTTAGCAGTCAAAAGGCAAGTTCTCTTTGTATCTGGCTGGTTCCACAGTTAAAAGTTTCACGGACCTAACCACCCCCTGCCCCTTTCAGAGGAGAAGGGTTTTTTTTATGACATTAGACTTATAGCCCTAGAAAATTATAGAAAAGTCCACATCTGCTGATAAAATTGGTTGATGTAGTAATTTCAGTGAAGGTTCAGTTTCACCACCAGCACTTTAAGGCAGTAGAACGTCTTCTCCTCCTACAAAATAGAAGTATTCAAGAGAAACAGTGCAGGCATTTATAGAATTGTGTGAAAAAATACTCTGTATAAATAGCACTAAATGCTAGGGAGGTATGTCTGTGCAAACTGCTATCTCTGTCCAATTTCTCTCTAGTTTCTAGTAATGAATAGTTTCCTTTTTCTAACAGGTGATTTAGGGAAGCCCCTAATATTTTCTTAACAATACTAAATTGGGCTTAACTTTTAACTTATTTGTTGTCAATAGATCATTTGTGTATTTTTAAACACAGGGCCAGCAAATGAACAATTAAGTTTTGTGGCTAGGTCACAGTTTGGAGTTCAGATATATGTTTTGAGTACGTTTATCCAAAAATATGTATATGTATTTAGCAGATCACTTAGATCCAGCTACTGCTGACCCTGTGTGTTCGTGAGATTTTGCGTATAAGTGACAGGATAAACACAGCCCCATGGACACACAGTAGTGCACTTTTATTTCTGTTTATGCCGTATGTGTTGCTTAATGTAAGCCACATGTTTAATGCAATGGGGTTTAATACTCTGAGCCTAAAGTGCTGAATTTCCTAAGATCTATTAGTCTTAAAAATTAGGTCTTGTTTCGTGCCTGTATTTGCAAATGTATTAAAGCCATCAAGAGTTTTTATATTTGCACTAGAGAAAATGCTAAAGATCACAGTGGTTTAAGCAACAGCCAAGTATAAAAAGCTGGGATATGATAAAAAGTAATTTAAAAAATTCTGTACCTCCTAAATGAAAACTCTACCTCGAATGGTGGTTTTTATAAAAGAGATGAGCAGTTAGCTGGATTTGCAGAACAGGGATTCAGATGTGCAAAGTTTTACATTTTGGAGGGCAGCTGCTTTGGTTGGTTGGTTGGTTGGGTTGGTGGTTGGTAGGCAAAACAGAATTGGGTAAAGGAGTGTCATGTCCTGGAAGAGCAAAATAGCCAGAATACTAAAGATTTCTGAAAACTTTGGGGGACAAAAATACAAGTAGAGAAGTCTCTCTTTGGACTCAAAGACATCCTAAGACGTCCCAGAGTCTGGCTCCTATCGGATGAGGAGTCTGAAGATAGGGAAGTCAGCTATCTATTTGTACTGTCTTTCTCTCATTTGTGCCTTTTCTTTTCCTTCCTCCCAGTGTTGCTAACAACCACAAGCAGAATCTGATGACAGTGGCAAACCTCGGTGTGGTGTTTGGACCCACCCTGCTGCGTCCTCAGGAAGAAACAGTAGCAGCCATCATGGACATCAAGTTTCAGAACATTGTTATTGAGATCCTAATAGAAAATCACGAAAAGGTAATATATCATTGGTCACTGGGAGTGGAGATTTGTCTTTGGGGGAACCTGAGTTGGAAATGGCATTCAGGGTTGAAGCAGGTTCCCATTGCTAATGACTCTTACACCATGATGCTGCTGAAGCTGCTGCTGATGGTGGTGAGGTTGGTGGTAGTCATCATCTTGTCATGCAGCAGTGGCCAAATGGAGAGTCAGGGAGAGCAGTGGTGGTTATGGTAGTGGTTATTGTGGGCAACGTTGGTTGAGCATTTTTCTGTCCTGAGAACTGGGCTAAGTGCTTTATATGGGTTGTTACTGTATCCTCACGACAATCCAGTGAAAGAGGCATTCTTATGAGCCTCCTTTAGAAAATGACCCTTACCCATTTTTTACGTGGTTGTCTTCTCATGAAGTTGAGGTTTTTCCCTTAATATTAGGGAGAGTAACCTTTTTTTTATCCCAAGTGCCAATATTTTTCCTAATCTGTAGTTTACCCTCCAGTTCTCTAAATGTATTTTTTCATACTGTGTCTGTTGGGAGGAGTCTGTCTTGTCTTTTAGGGCCGTGGAGTTTCTGGTCTTTCTTAAAAGATCTCTCTCATCCCACATAATGAAGTTTGTCAACAGAGCTGCCCTTACAAAACTTGGATGGGGGCCATGAAGTTTTATGCATCTGTCCCACCTTAGTTCCGAGGAGCACATCCTTAAGAAGCTTCTCAGAACTTGTAGGGTCCCCTAGAACACCATTTGATAGCCACAGTGCTGGGATATAATAAAAAGTAATTTAAAAAATTCTGTACCTCCTAAATGAAAACTCTACCTCGAATGGTGGTTTAATTGTGCTAGATAATCTAGCCTGTAAAATAAATCTGTAGTCAGACCACTTCTTATCACTTGTCTTCACTGATAATACTCTGACACAAGCCATCATCATCTCTTGTCTCAATATTTACAACAGCATCCTCGTTTGTTCCCTTCCCCTACCCTTGGCCTGTCTATTTTGGTAACAGCCACCAGAGTGAGATTTTTTCAGTGCTAAGTCAAATCATATCATTTGTCTGCTGATTACCTTCCAGGGACTTCCCATTTCATGGCATGGAAGTCAGAGCCCTTATAAGAGCCTGGAAGGTCCTACACAGGCTCTGTTACTTACCTCATCTCATCTACGGCCTTCTGTTTTAGTTCACTCCAATGGCCACCTTGACTGCCTTGCTGTTCATTACACGTCACAGCATGCACACCTCAAGGCCTTTGCAGTTGCTTTTCCCAGCACTTGGAATGGTCTTTCTCCACGGAACTTTATGGCATACTTCCTCACCTCTTTTAGGCCTTCTAAATGAGGCCTACCTAGATCTTTCTGTTTAAAATTGCATATATTTCCAACTCCAACATTCCCCTTCTCCCTGATACTGTTTTATATCTCCACAGCATTTTACAACTTCCTACTATAGTACATAATTTGCCTACTGGTTAAATATCTTGCCTTTCTGACCTCCACTAGGATATATGCTTCTTGCATGCAGGGACTTTTATCTGTTTTGTCCGCTGCTTTATCCCCAGGTCCTCAGTAGGCACTCATATGTGTTGGATGAACGAATGGGCCCTTGTGGTATCTGGCCTCCAAATGGTTCCAAGTGACCCTTTGTCACCTGGTATTCACTGCTCTGTATAGTCCCCTCTCTGAAGAGGGGATCCTAGTATTGATCCCAATGTGATTAATAGGAAATTACAAAACTAATGGAGACTGACTCTGGAGACTGATCAAATAAGAACTTGCAGCATTTGCTTTGGCTTCTGGACTTGCATATTCTAGGGGAAACAAGCTACCATGTTGTGACATAACCCTGTGGGGAGGAAGTGAGGCTTCCTGCCAACAAGCAGACCAGGTGGGCCGCTATATGAGTGAGTCACTTGGATGTCAATCCTTTAATCCTGGTCAGTCCTTCAGATGATGCAGCCCCAATGGACATCTTGTGTGCAATGTCATAAGAGACCAGTGAGCTAAGCCCCTCCTGAATTCCTGACTCATAAAAACTGGAGAGACACTAAATGTTTTAAGCCACTAAGTTTTCAAGGTAATTTGTTGTGGAGCATTAATAACTACTAAAGAACCTCTGAATATAAACTTTCACAAAGTAACAAGTATCCTGCGAAGTTGTTTAAGTGGCATGGCCTTCCTTTTACATGGTTAATAAAGAGATAGGAAATCAAATGATTTATTTGAAGAAATTATCTTTTCTCTATTCCAAATTTTGGACCTCCATCCAGCCACCTCCCTCAAATATAGTTAAATCAGGTATAAGTAAACTTTATGTGATATATGAAAAAAATGAACTTGTGAAAAGGGAATATAATTGAATAGCAGTTAAAAATGGTTTCTAGGGATGCCTCAGTGGCTCAGTTGGTTAAACGTCTGCCTTCGGCTCAGGTCATGATCCCAGGGTCCTGGGATCAAGCCCTGTGTTGGGTTCCCTGCTCAGCAAGGGAGCTGCTTCTCCCTCTGCCTGCCACTCCCCCTGCGTGTGCACGCCCTCTGTCAAATAAATAAATAAAAATCTTTTTTAAAAACTGGTTTCTAAAGACAAACCATATGGGGGCGCCTGGGTGGCTCAGTTGGTTAAGCGACTGCCTTCGGCTCAGGTCATGATCCTGGAGTCCCGGGATCGAGTCCCGCATCGGGCTCCCTGCTCAGCAGGGGGTCTGCTTCTCCCTCTGCCCTCTTCCCTCTTGTGCTGTCTCTCATTCTCTCTCTCTCAAATAAATAAAATCTTTAAAAAAAAAAAAAAAGACAAACCATCTGGATTCAAATCTGCCACCTCTTTCTAGTTATGTGACCATGAACAGATTACTTAACTTCTCTGTGCTCAGTCTAACTGCTGGAACAAATAACCCCCAAATATCAGTGACTCAGGAGGATAGAAGTTTATCTCTTGCTCACAAAAGAGTTCTCCGTGGGTATTACGAAGGTGGTATCCTCTGTGGCAATTAAGCAACTCAGGTGCCTTCCATCTAGTTGTTTTTACCAGATGGTAAAAGTTTACCAGAAAGGTAAAACTGCCTTCTGCTCTGCAGATTTCTGCAATCAACCAGTTGGGTGCAATGAGAGAGTCTGGAAGACTGGGTAAGATTGTATAGACTAAGCACAGAGGATGCTTTCCTTATTTTCTTCCACATTCCGTTGGTCAGAAGTCGGTCACATGGCAACATCTAACTGTAAGGGAGGCTGGGAAAGCAAGCTAACTGTGTGCTTAGAGCAAGGGGAAGCGAGTTTGATGACCAACTAGCCAGTTAGCCACATTCCGTCAGTTGGTTTTCTCTGAGGATTAAATAAGGTATGATATGTAAAGGACTTAGCCAGGAATCTGGCATGACATAAGGTTTAATAACTGTAAACCATTGTTTTTAGCAGTCTCAACAGAGTGCTCTGAAAATAGAGCTCAAGTCCACTTCTGCATGTCACATGTCCCCCTCTCCCAAAATAAAACTTTTTGTAATTTGATCTTTTCTTTAATAAAATATTAAATGTTGAGACAGATATGCAAAGAATGAACAGTGTGATTATGTTCCATCTCCTCAAAGGGGCGGTATTTAAGCCTATAAACAGGCAGTGTCCAATGATTTTTTGAACTATAACTCTTCTTGGTGTCTTTGGGCTTTCAAAGCCAGCAAGCAAATTCAAAAGTAGCATGATAGAAAAAAGGACCAGAAAGTGCTAATAACAATATTGAAACTTGGGTAAACAAGCAGCCATCCTGCCAAAGGCACAAAATACAGAAATAGAAATGAAATATGAAGTGCATGGCCAGGACTGTAAGTATATGGGCAAGAACTGGTGGAAAATACTCATCTGGTTTGGTGGGTTATAAATTATGGTACTCTCTGCTGTGTATTTGTTAAGGTACCTACAGTATTAAGAGTATTACACTTCTTCATTATATGTTCCTTTTCATTAGTCTTTGCCAGAGAGTGGGATGAATCACATTGAGGGTTTATGTTCCTGTGGGAGCCAGTGATGAAAGAGTATGACTGAAAACATTTCTGGGATGAAGACTGCCCCAGAGTGCCTGTTCCCAGTCCTGAAGGAGCCTAGTGTACCATCTTGATAGAGGTTTTTTAATCGGGGGTCCACGATGGGCCAAAGTTTGCAAGACCTGGATATGTGCATTCTTCTGGGGGGAAAGTCCTTCATATTCATCAGGTTTGCCTTTCTGGTAAAAACAACTTAGAATAAGTCAACTAGACTCCTTTTTAAATATAGCTTTAGGTCTGGTCTGGTATAAAATGAGCAGTTCCTGCTTTAGGCTCCTTTTGGAGCCTATGAAGTTCACCTAATAGAAATCCTAAGCATCCATGGCCATGCTCTGGCCCCTGGCTTTCTGGAGATGATGCTTTGGATAAATATCCCCCCAGTAAACTGAACTGTAGTCATCAAATCCAGAGCACTCTTATGTCCTCAGATGAATATTGTCGGAGACTTATTCTTTAAAATTTACACTATTAACATCTTAGTTAATATTTAATGAGTATTCCCTTAGACTTGGCTATAATTTTCTAGAAATATGCACATACATACACAAATGTCCATGAGTGACTACTTTTCTAACTTTAGTGTCACAAGTTGGACAAAATTCTGAAACCCCACTTGAAGAAATGCTTTCACAGCATCTTTTTATCCTATCTGCCAACAAGAAGCATGAGATAGTATATGCCGTCTTGCTTGAAACAAGGTCTAAAATGTATGTCCCCCGCAATGACTGGCGTAATACTCTCTCATGTTGTTAAGAACATTTTGTAGAAGGTGTTTCATTGGTCCCTTGGAATAAAATTAGGTAACAGATGTGTAGTAACAGTAGACAGAAGTAATAGAAGATAGTACCAAAAGAGGGTATGGTGGCCCAGGCATCTAGCCACTGGAGCCACTCCGAGACAGAGAGAACCATAAGATGCCTGTTGTAGTTATCTATTCCTGCATAACAGATCATCTCCAAACCTAGTGACTTAAAACAGCAAGGATTATTTTTT